GGCTTCCTTGCCACAAATTCTTTTCTTCACAAGATAAAAATTGCTGAAAATAATCTTTGCTCGTTCTGTAAAACAGATCCAGAAACATTGATTCATCTTTTTTATGAGTGTAAACATGTAACTATTTTTTGGAAAAATTTTAAAAATTGGTATCAAGCATTTGAAAATGATTATGTAATTTCAAAACAAAAGTTGATGCTGGGTAATATTGAAGGAAGTTGTTTAGAAAATTTTCTCATCTTGTTAGCAAAAAAGTATTTGTATTACTCAAGAACTCGATGTACTATACCTAAATTTACAGAAGCTGTTAACATTTTTATGTATTACAGGAAAATTGAAAAATATTGTGAGAGCAATTTTCATTGTAGAACTAAAATGTATAGTAAATGGGCAATGTTTGATTTGATTTGTCATACATAATTCCAATTATTACTTAAGGTGTAATTATGAAAGCTGGTATTTTGGGAAAGGTGCACAGAGTGCATGTGGTGTGTGAGGGTGTGTGAGGGTGTGTATTTTGTTTTCTTTTGTAAGTATAAACATTTTCAAAAATAAAGCATTAAAAAAAAAAAAAACAAATTATATTATATTCTACAATAAAGGAATTTCCAAGAAAAACTATACAGTGGTTCATAGTTCGAATATCATTTTTTATCACAAGCTTAAGTCACCTGCATATTGGCGTCATTTTTTCTAATACAGGGATTTTTTTGTTGGTCAACTTTTGTATCATCCTTCGGACAAGTATGTTAATCGACTTCATTAAACTTGTATATTTGACATTGACATATTTTGACACAATTATTGAAATTAACTTATAAAGTTTATCAAAAAGATGACACATATTGTAAGAAGTCCGACTCGCTTAATATTAGAGAAACACCAACATCCTACGAACGAACGTAGCTCGCCCTAACTTTCCGTATCTCGATTGTTTTGTCGGGACTAGTGATTGCACCCATATAAAGTTAAAAATCGGATAAAAATAAGTATATGCGTAAACGCTGTTAACTGAAATTCTATATCATAACCAGTGTTCATACGATAAACAATATTAATCCTCAATCATTAATTGCCACGACAGGTCCTTATTGTCCCCCGCTTGAAAAGTGGGGAATATCAATTTGGGTTTGTCCGTCCGTCTGTCTAGCCGTCCGTCCGTCCGTCCGTCTTTCTGTCTGTCTGTAACGCTTTCGTTTCCACACGATATCTCGAGAACCCTTTGAGCTTTTGCAATGAAATTTAGCATAGCAACTCCCTGTGGACTAAAGAAGACCCCTATTGATTTTGAGGTCAAAAGGTCAAAGGTCAAGGTCATAAATAAGCAAATTCTCTCTGTTAAAACAATTTCGTTTCCACACGATATCTCTAGAACCATTTGAGCTATTGGAATGAAATTTTATATAACAACTCCCTGTGGCCTAATGAAGACCCCTATTGATTTTGAGGTCAAAAGGTCAAAGTTCAAGGTCGTAAATTTATACATTCTGTCTGTGTGTAATGCTATTATATCCGGACGATATTTCAAGAAGATTTTGAGCTTATGCAATGTAATTTTATATCAAAACTCCCTAGGACGTCTCTCGCCCCTCTCAAAGTGCCCCGCCCCGTTTGTTTTATTAGTATAATTTATAGTATTACATGTCGCTATTTTTAGCGCAGGCATGAGAAGAGTTATTGCGTATAAAACAGGTTCTCGGCGGACTTTATGTTCTTATTACATCTATAAGAACTGTTTAATAAAGGCTAAATAAATCAAACACCATGGATTGTGTAAAATTTTGAGAATACCGAACATGAAAACATGAATATATACATGTATGTGACTTCACTTCTGCATATACTTCACTCTCTGTAAAGCGATTCCGTGGTCTAGTGGATATGTCTCTTGCTTCAAGTGTGAGAGGTCCCGAGATCAAATCTCGGTCGAACCTTTCTTTTTTTTTTAAATACTTTTTTTTTGACTAAATGATAGTATTCAGCATGTGAAATGAAAAATTTATGAGGCTATAAAATCATCATAACAATGTGATAAAATTTCCATAAAAAAAATCTTCTATACACATAATGAAGAATAAGCAATCAAATCTTTATATGCATATTGACATACATGTATTTTATTTGCTTCAGTATACATGACAGGGGGAGCCGACTTTTTCCCTAAGCGGGGGACACAAATTCTCTGAATTAGCTTGTTTATCTTTATTTATGAGACATTTTATCGAATCGGTCGTTTAGAAGCTATCGAATCAATCAGTAAATCAACTAAACCCAGGTAGCACTGAGGTTCGTAAGTATTTTGAAGTATGATCGGCATATTGATAAATTCCTGTATACATATTTTTTGGCCCCATTTTATTTTCTGCAGTATTCGCCTTTATCTCCGTTGGATGAATTTTTAACTGGCAAATTCAAAGAATACAGTATAATTTCTTTTAAAAAAAGTGTTCTTTGGCGAATTTAAGGCGGGAAAATATGTTTGCAAGATTGAATGGGGAAAATAAGCGGGGTGAAAATAACTGTATACAGTAGGAAAAATATGGAAATAATTAACAGTATTCAAGCTCAAAAGTCCATAAAACAATACAAAATAGAGGCAGAGCAAACAAGGACCTCCAAAACATCGCAGGTGGGATGAGGTGCCTTGGAGGAGTGAGCCAATTGGTCACATGCGCCGTTTGTCATGACCACGAAAGGACCTCACAAATATTGTCCATCTGAAACCCAAGCACCTTTTCAATATATTACTGCTTAAATCACGATAAGAATGTTGCAATCATCATTTTGTTATCATTTTTCTAGATTTAGTTTTTAGTTTATTTGTCATTCATGATCATAACCACTTATACACCACTAATACACTCATATATAAGAAGAGATGATCTACATGTACTTTTTGAGGAGAAAATATCGTAAAACTGTCATAAAATTAAAAAGAAAAATTGCTGAAGCGTGAATAAAACACTTAAAATTAAATATTTATGATTAAGCTTATTATGACTCATTTTAGAAGTGTTTATGTATGGATAAGCAGATGGATTACACGAAAAAAAATAATAATTTGATTAAAAAACATAGAAAAATTGAATATATATAACTCATTATTGATAACGAAAGGAATTAAATTCAGGATTACTTCCTGTCAACAAAAGAGAAAGGAATACGTGAACATTAAAACCTTGTATCGAATTCACAGCTCATTTCACAGGTTTAGAATTTACAGCATGGTATCAATTATTGCAAGAATGATAAGCGGCTTATTGTAAGTAGTAAAGACATACGCAAGATAACCATAATATAAAACGTAGAGTAAATCACATTCCAAGGGTACAATTTTAATGGCAGTCATTCGTTATCAATATCACTTTAAAAAGATAAAACTGCACTTCAAATTTTGAATAATTATCAAGTGACAATCGAAACTTTATATAATATATTGCGTCTGCAAAGCTTTTTAATGTTACAAATATACAGGCAGAAACTTATGCACTAGTATTATGATGCGGAAAATTAATGTGGTCATCATCCTTTTCTTTGGTGTTTTAAAAATTCTCTTTATTCTGTCATCTGAAATGATGATAACAAGGGATACCTCGTTTGACAATTTTTTACCCTTGCATACAATGTATTACATTGCCACTTTTGATGGAATAAGCCGCCTTGGATGCACTTTAAAATGTTTGACTAAGAAGTCCGAGTGTCTAGCATTACTATACAATGGGCAACTGCAGTTTTGTAGGCTTATGAAGGCTCAGCTTACCAATAGAATGGTAGACTTTGGTCATATTTCTTTTGGTTGGGAATTCTGGTCTCAAAATGATAGTGAGTTTCAGTAATAAAGAGTCTTTATAACCGTGTGTATATTTTATGAAGTTTCTATAGAATTGTAGACTTTGTTTATATTTCTAGTGGTTGGGAATTCTGGTTTTGAAATGACAGTGAGTTTTTGAAATTTCATTTTTCATTTTTGAAAACTCATTTTTAAAAAAACTGTGGGTGTGTTTAATGACGTTTCTATTGATTAAAAAACATCTTCAAATTAAGAAATTACTAAATGCAAGAAAAAAATATTTCTTATGACTACATACACTGTATATGACGCAAATAAGTTTTCAAATATATGATAAATGATTTTTCATTCAAATATTGGTATCAAAAGTGCCTGTACTCTGTAAAAAAAAAACCGAAAATGCAAAACTTTTCAGAAGCTAATATGAAGGAAAAATTTTTTAAAAAAAATCTGTTATAAAAATAAAATAATGATTGATTGAATGTATGGTGTTTAACGTCCCTATAAAATTCTTCACTCATCTGGAGACGCCACCAGTTGCCGGTGGAGGGCTACCCATTTTGTCCTAAACTATATTCGACACTCCGGGTCACTGAGCAGTGACCTTTGTTCTTTTTGTTTACCAGCACCTATTTAAAAAGGCGAAAAAGGACATATACTTATATATACATATGAACATACATGCCCCCCCCCCCGTGATAAAGTTTGATTCCAAAACATGAATAAAGTGTAAATTTTAATACTGTTTCTGCTTTTTAGTTTGTCCTCTTAATTGGTTTCCCTTCGAAAATCATTGCTATTTCTTCAACAAGAACACTGTAAGCTGGATGGATGCAAAGGTAAAATGTTTATGAATTTAAGATTTTAATTCTATTTTCCATTCCTATATCTTTTTTAATGTTTACTTTATCTACAATTTACCAAAACCATAATAACAGTAATATTAATGATATTTAACAATCGAATTTAATTAACAATCTAAGATAGATCGATTGTAATAATCTTCTGACTATTGCATTTTGAAAAGGTTTAAAGAAAAAAAAAACGCCCTCTCATATTTGAAAAAAAAATATCTGGAAGACTAGTGCGCTTTCTTAGTGCCCCTTAAATAATATTTACCACAGAAAGGTCACTAAATCAGAAAATTACTTGTATTATATTGAGATAAAAAATGGATTTAATTTAATTTTCATTTAAGATTCAATGTGAAATGGATGGGACTCGTCTTTTGGAAGTAGACAATCACATTGAGAATACATGGACAATGGAAACGTTTCTTCCTCCTTGGAATGCAGGTAAGGCTTTTCGATAACTACAATTTATCAATAAGTCAAATGCTGACTAACGTTTTTTTCATACTGATTGTTGAGCCATTGTATACTAGTACTTTCTGAATTGACGACGGATCTTCCCGTTATTTCCTGATCATGACAAGGAGCACACGGTGGGTGTGACCGTCGTCAGAGGGATGCAAACTTCTCCATGGTAACTGATCCTACCTCTAATATTTTTAATGCACGTTTTTGCTATTCTCCTAATTTGTATTGTTAAATGACCTCTTGAGCTTGAATACTTTTCGTTATCTCAATATCTTTCAGCAATTTAAAACAATAGGCATTTATAAAACACTTAGAAAAAGGCAATGAAATATGCATAATTTAAGGTACATTGTGTCAGTTGGTATGTTTGTTATCGGTATAAAAATCAATTTACAATATATCATTTTCTATATTCAATCCGATCAAGGTAGAATTTTGTCTACATTGAGTTCGGAATCACAATAGTTTTAAGCCATTTTAAGCCACATCAATAATATTTAATTTTCAAACTAATTTGGTTCATATAAATCTCCAAAAACGCCTAAATGAGAGCAATTTATTCTAAATTAACCTTTAAGGGTTTTGGCATATATAAGCGGGGATCACGAACATTAAACGTGCTCAAAAATCCATAAAACAATACAAAATAAGAGAAGAAAAAACACAGATCCCCCAAAAAAAACATCAGAGGTGGGATAAGATACCATGGAGGAATAAGCATCACCTGCCAACTAGTCACACCCGCCGTGTGCTCCTTGTAATAATCATAAAAAAACGGGGAAAAAATCCGTTGACAACTCAGTGTGTAAATGATGGCCTAATTATCAGTATGAAAAAAGCCAGTCAGCATTTGACTTAAACATACATTGCATCTGCGGACAAGGTCTTTGTATGGACCATAGTACCTACGAAAAGGTTATTTTAAACAAGAGTGTTGACATCAATACTTCATTAATTTGTTTGTCAATAACATTCCCAATATAACCATTTTTTGTACATATTGCACTAAAAAGTTTAAATATTCTTTGAGTTAGAAAGGTTAAAGGATCTTTACATTGCAAACAAATCAGTCGTAGCCCGAGAATGAAGTTTTTTTGAAGTTTAATAGGCAAAGTTAAGTTTGTAAGTAGACATTAAGAGTATTTAAGCTCAAGTTTACTTTAGGAAAACAAATGGATTGCAGTGCGCTCGAATACCTCAAAAACACCATAATATGAAGTAATATTTCAAATATGTATTTTCCAATAAAACGCCGAAAGCCGGGGGACCAAGATTCTTTGAATTTACTTGTGTTTGTTTTACTTATAGATGAGTGTTCTCCTTTCGACAAATGTTGTACCTGCTGGATTGGAGGATCAGATAGACATATAGAGGGGGTTTTCACCTGGAATGACCTCACCAATATAACCTATAAAAACTGGTTCCCTGGCCAGCCTGATGGCGTTTTGCAGGGAGATTGTGTCAGTTTCTGTCGGGATGGGTACTGGGACGATAACACGTGTACCAATGAAAAAGCATTCATCTGCGAAACTGTCTAAAATGTTAAAGAAAACCTATACTGTCAAATCACATATTTTCGTTGGGTCAAATTTTCGAGGTGTGGGAGAAAGATATTGGTTTGTGCAGATTTTATTTCGAGGTAAGAGAAGTGTTGAGTAAAAATTCATTTGAAATTTACAACTCGATGTGGTGATGAAAAAAAGAAACCGAACATTAAACCAGCACGAAAACTATTGATTTCACAGCATCCGTATTATGAACGATTAGATGAATTTGAATCTGAATTTAGTGTTGTATCTTTTCCTACAACTTATCATAAACATTTGTGTTTAGAATGATTTTAAGTATTAATGATCAGCACAACACTAAGATTTATACCTTGTTTGAGAATTTCACTTCCAATTATAATAAAAGAATGTCAAGATTTTTTTTTCTATTTTGAGAAGTGTTAAGAATCCTCTCAACATAGAACTAAAACGTTATGATTCTATTGTTTCTGTAGGTGGAGTGATCTGCCCTTAGATATATTTTCCAATAAATAGAAAGATATAGTATATGGCTCAAATCGAATCAATGCAAGTATTCTCAACATTCAAAAAAACCAAGATCAATTAAATGAATATTTTATTTATATGTATTCTACATCGAAGTAAATAACAGTAATTTGTATTCAAGACAAATTACTGTTATTTACTTCGATGTAGAATACATATAAATAAAATATTCATTTAATTACTGTTTTGTGTTTGAATACTTTCCCTAGGAGTGAATACGGCGTGTCATACATTGTCCTAAATGTAAACAAAAAATTAACTTACGTAGAGAGTCCTTGAGACTACAAATTTCGGCTTGTGTTTGATTCACAAATATCCTTGCGTTTTCAGGACCTTTTTTTTTTTTTTTTTTTTTTTTTTTACAAAAAATAGAAAATGACACGTTGTGTTCAAGGGCGCCGAATGTGGTTGCCACCTCGCACATCATTCTAAAATGAAGTGAATTTACTGTTTTAAAGCATTTTTTTGCTTAATTAATAAAATTAAACAAAATTAAGAAATTACAGGTTTCAAATGTAATTATAATTCTATATGACTGATTTTTCAAACAATTTTGCAATTGATAGATAGGTTGACGTCTTTACAGTGTCTTTTTGACGAAAAGATAGCTGAAGATCTTAAAGAAAAGGGTTATAAAAATGTTATTAAAGAAAAAGTAATAAACATACGCTCTTGAAATAAAAAAAATAAGAATTTGAGAATATTCATTATTTTTTTTTATATTTTTTCATATATATGTAAATCTTTTGTACCCATCATATTAAGCAGTACTCTTAAACAAATAGGAAAATTCGTTAATTTTTGGCATTTTGAGATGCCCCCTATGGAAACAAGACTGCAGAATTTTGCATTTCCTATAATGTGCAATATAGTATTATTCATCAAATATTATATATAGTTTGAACTACACGTCTTTTTCAGTATTTTTATCATTAGCTTTACGGTGCTAAAATTGGCATTTTCCTATATAATCCTATAGTAAATGTAGCTATATTTTGAGACAGTTTCTTTAAATACAGTGGATTTCCCCCAAACTTGTCTTGTACACTGAAGTTAATGTAAGTTAAATATGATATAAAAACGAAGATTTCTCTGCACCGTGTTATTGGTTGATGAATTTAAAGAACGGAACTGAAGACTGATTTTTTTTAACTTATTTTTTCTGCCTTAAGAAGTTTTATAAGAAGTAGAATTCAAATATTGGGTATGTTTTTAAAAAAAGGTATGAAATCAGTAAAAAAGAAAAAAAAACCCATCATGGTTCTTTTCCCAAATTCATCTCAAATAAGAAAAATGGTTATTTGTGATTTAAATATGAAATTTTACTTTGATTGTTTTTCTTTTGTTTCAGATTTTCATATTATTTCAGTAAGAAAAACAATTATCGTTTACATTTACTTGACTTAAATAATAATTATTCAGTATATATCGAAAAGATTGGACAACAGGTTTAAAGCCTATATAGTGGCTGCAACGGTATTGTTGACAAACCAATCTTGTAGAATCGTTCGTGTATCGTGCATGATCGTTCGTGTAACGTGCGAGATCGTGTGTGTATCATACTCAATCGTTTGCGGTTTTAATCGTGCAAGATCGTGCGCTTAGAATCGTGTAAATTTCGTTTTGTAATTTTTGTTATCGGAATGTTATTTGTAAAATAAGCAAGTAAGCATTTCTCTTCTTTTAATTTATCTATTTAAAAGCAAATAAAATGAATGAAGCGCAATTTACATAATTGAACGCAGAATGAACTAATTATTGCTTGTCAACAAGCAATATTAATAGTAAGTCGTACAATATTAAGTTATCGTCAAATAGCGCGATCAATATTGTGATAAAGCGTGCTTAGATCTTTAACTTTTTTTTTTACATCTGATTTTCACTCTTGTTTACTGCTAATTGTGGTAAAGATATCTTTAAGATCAATACATCAAAAATAAATATTTTTTACAGCAACATAAACATTTCTCAATTCTTATATGAATATTTAGTCGACGAATATACATGCACATGACATGATTTTAGGGTTTTTGATTATCTGTGTTTATCTCTGGAGCTTACTTTTAATTAATTTTTAAATTTCTGCAAATAAAAAAAATTAAATAATTGGCAAGTTCATTTTTAGAGAAACATTGAATCAATGGAAGTAGACGGATATATTTTGTAACTGAAGTCATTCCATACTGCCATATTTTTTTTTCAATCGTATCCCCCTTTCTGCATATCATGAGATCCAATTCAATCAAAATATACGGCCCACATACATGTACATCTTCTGATAGAACGAAAACATTTGTTTTCTTAGGTCGGAGAATTACCTAAATAATTAGGCCTATTTATAATCTAAAGTATTACGTCTTACATGTATTTAGTTACAGAAATATCCATTTCCGGGTTTTTTCAAAGTCTATGAAATAATATTGCTAATTCTTTGAAATCTTAAATTAGTATTTAGCCGTATTTCGTTTTGAAAATATCGATTCCTAAATATTTTGAACTCTTTTGAGTGAAGAATCGTGCTTTTGCGTTAGCAATCGTGTAAGATCGTGTAACGTGTAGAATCGTGTGGGTGAAGGAGCGTTCGTGTAACAGGTTTAATCGTGCGTTAATTGTGCGGGATCGGTCGTGTAGCCACTGTAGATACCCTAATTAAAAAGACATGAAATGCTAACAATGAGTTCTGCCTTGTACACTAAATCTTTGTTTAGGTATACATCTTTGTTCATGTATAAAATTCAATCAGATTTCGTATTTTGGCATATCTTTATACTTACAATTATGATTTTAAAAAAGAAAAAAAAATACTTTCATACCCCTAAAAAAACACATTATGGGAACAATTACCTTAAAAAATGTAAGATAGTTTTGTCATACATTTTGTTATTAGACGGTTACGTTGCATTCGAGTAAATTGCGTTTACTTATTAATCAACGCAATTGTTTACTATACAGCTATTCATCTTATAATCAAAAAGACTTGATTTTGAATATGTCCGAAAAAATTTCATATTTTGATTTTTAATGCAATCCCTTCATCAACAAAGGAGCTATCAAATGTAGAAGATCACTATATTTTGATTCTGGTTTTATTTGAAAATTGAACTTTCTAAACGTGCTGCATCTGAATGTTGCATAAGACAAATAGAAAAAAGGGCGTCTGAAAGCAGGTGTAACATAGTCTACAATTGCAAGAGGTTTTAATGTTACAAATGTACGTAAAGCACAATATCTAGCCTATAAAACATAGACCATTAATTTTACTTATACCATCGTCTATTTTTACATCAAATACATTTTGTTATCTACTCTGCTCTGTTTTTTGCCAAAAATGATATCAACAAATATTTGAATTGAAAAGAGCATTTATTACAAATGCCAATGAAATATACAGCAGTATTGTTTGATATTAAATATATGTTACACCTGTCACAATGAAAAATTAAAAACAACCAAAAAACATGGGCACTTGTCTCTAAGCTGTTGCTTTGGACAAGTTTGTGGCATGTTTTTTAATCAAGTTCCATCTTTTTTGCCATTTTTAGTCATGTGTGTTTTTATTGTGTACATACTTATAGAGTTCTATATGCATTGTTTTTCTATATTAATTAGGGCAAATCTAAGATATGCATTTCAATTTTTATTGTATGTACCTTTTTGGTTGTTTTTAATTTTTCATTGTGACAGGTGTAACATATATTTAATATCAAACAATACTGCTGTATATTTCATTGGCATTTGTAATAAATGCTCTTTTCAATTCAAATATTTGTTGATATCATTTTTGGCAAAAAACAGAGCAGAGTAGATTCTGGCAGAAAAACTGAAAAATTGGTATTTGATGTAAAAATAGACGACAATTGTATTTATGTGAAGCATAAAGTAATTTATACCATCTCTATTGTAAAATTTTTATTTTCTATATTCCGGATTTTGTTATGCCTCCAGTTAAGATTTTCGTCTTACAAAATCCTTTATCTCGGATCACGTGATCATTGTTTACTGTAATTTTAAAAGGGAGGAGATTTTGACCCTCCTCCTCCTCCCCTTCATCCACCTGGAATTTTACATGCAATACCCAAAGTTTTCAAAAATATGGCAGGCCAGGTGTGACATTAGCAGCACAGCATCCCTTCAGAATATTTCGTAAATTTCATGAGTGTAACTCATTGACGTCATATACATAAGCTATATCTTAACATCTATCTCATTATTCTATACTATTTTCAGTTGAATATGTAAAGTATAATTGCAAGAGGATTATTCATGCCATTGTTTTGACAACATAACACCATATAAATATCGACTTCAAAGATACAGTATCATCATCACTGAAAAACATTTTGGTTTATCTACTAGTCCAGAATGTTTCTTGGAAGCCTTTTTATAAGTTTAAGAGTGATAAGGCTTCGAAATGAACGTAAGACAGAGCACTGCCCCAGGACGTTTAAACAATTTTTGGTGGTAGTCTTAGTAAAGAGTATTGCATAAAAGTAAGACTAATTAGGTTCATATTCAAAGGGCTTTGATGGGAAAAGATACTCAAGCTATGCTCTACCTGCATATGCCTTTTCAATTTTGCAGCCTCCTGGAACCGTATTGTAATCGAACAATTCAAAGCCACATATGAGCCGTTTGAAAATCACATTCTTGCAAAGCAACAGCAACCTGTTTCAACCAAAGTCATCTAAATCGCCAAATTCAAATTCAACTGAGCAGTACTTGACAAAGTGGATTGGCATGTTAAGTCAAAAGGCAATCACACCCACAGACTCTGCAACAGCTTACTAAAGCTTTACACTTGGAGTGGGAGGGTAATCCTATACAGTTTTTATAACAATGCTTTCTATTTCTACTTCCATTAGATGCCAATTTCGCTTAGATTTGTGTCGAAAGGGGGCATACCAGATATTCATCTTTAATGACCTTGAACTCTCAATGATTTTAAAATACTTAAATAATAATACCATTAAAAAAAGTATTACTATTATTACACACATGAGGAGTACTAGTATGTAAGCAAATTTCCAGAATTTAAAAAAAATCATTCACATCGTGAGTTTATTGGCTAAATTGATTGAATATTTAAATATATATATCTAAGAAAAAAAGTCAATTTCATCGCGCGTATGTTGCAGGATAACCTACGGTGTCATAAACTGTTGTTTGAAAGATAAGAATCTGAGGCGTTCGTTGAGGAAATTATATTTCAAACAATATTTCACGACATCGGGGGTTATCCTGCATCATTCATGACAACAAGGAGTTCATTAATATCTATTCCTATCCATATCTCGATAATGATTGTCCAATTAACACCTAAGAGTAAATGTGTTTGTTGACCTGCCTATGGAATGCAGTGGATGTGAGCTTTCGCCGCATAAAAAAAGCCTTTTATTTATCATAGATTTGTTTATATCAAACATATATATTTTTTATGAATGTACAATAAGAAAAATTAGTTTTCTATTTCATTGCTTTAGCACTAATATTATGGAGTTTAAATATGGTGTAGGGTGGTTCGTGGAACAGCCCCGCTTACTGGTTGATATAAAAACCTACATGCATCAGGTACTCTAAGCAATTTACATAGTGTTTCGACTGCAAAAGACGACACATTGATGAGTCTAATTAAGATTTTTTTTTTATTTTAGAGACAAATATTTATATCAACTGTATAGGTTTGGTTCTTTTTTCTGACCTCATAATTTTTTATGGCGCTCGTGATTTATTAAAGAATGATATCCGCGACATATCTTTGATCTCGGCAATAATCGTGGTAGAAATACATATATAAAATGAAGATTAAATCCGAGCCTCTAATGGTTCTCTAGACATGAAACATTTTATTTTTTTTTCTAATTACATTTCAACATAATCAGTCATCGAACGTTTCCTTGAATATCAGAGGGATAAAGTTTGAATTATATCATTTTCGTGAAATAAAAGAAATGTGCATGAAAATTGAATGAAAGTATCCGTATTAAAATACGTCAGAAGAATTGCTTCATGATTAATACCCAGTTTGATCTTCAAGCTGAATATAAATTTGAATATTTTAAATAACTTCTTCTAAGATTTTGTATAATAAGGTATTAGGAAAATTCCTTTGAAATAGTCGTATTGCAAAATCCGTAGCATTTCTTGTGGCTAATCAATGATCACGGTTATCATTAAGGGAAAAAGCCAAGGGTGATTATGGATGGAGTGTTTACAAGTAGCAAAAAGCAGCACGGTTGCTTTAAATGATCATTCATTTAGCTTTTTATAATATATGCATTTTCTTGTGAATTTAATGACGATGATTTGGATACTTGGTATAATATTAAAACTTTCTCTCAGCGTTTTTACAATTGACTTCCCTCTTGCTCATTCCCATGAGGGAAAAATGACCAGGGATTTTTCGTTTGACGATCTTTTACCAATAAATTCGCAGTTTTATATTGGGACGTTCGAAGATATCAGCCGTTCCGGATGCGTGATGCAATGTATAATGCATTCATCTCTATGTATATCTCTGCTTTTCAATGATGGCCTTAATTCTTGCAAACTTTTGAATTGTCATCTAAATGAAAGTCTGGTTGACACGAATCAGGTCTTTGGCGGATGGGAATTTTGGATTCTAAACAAAGGTTTGTCTATTTACTTTATTTACTTTTGTTTTCCAAAATTCATTTCAACAAAGAATATTGCTTTTTAAGTAAAAAAACAATTGATGGAAATTTAAGCAATATTTAGATTAAAATATTTTTTGTTTAACTTTAATTCAATTTGATGATATATCGACGATTTCTCTGATACTAGTTTACTGAATATTTTTACAGTCTCACTACAATTTTGTTTACATATAGACTTGTTATTTATGATGTTAAAGCCATGGTTGTTGATCGTAAGAGGTCAACTTTTCATTGCAAAACCGTAAACAAGAAAGCTAAGCCTAAGAAATATTTTTACACTATTTGTACATTTTGACAAGTGTTGAACCTGAAATTTAGTATCGTATGGCTACCTTATGGCTGCTAGTTACATTTAATATACAGATTGGTGAATATATTTTGCTGGTTAACTCAATTGTGTTAAGAACATTTTTCTAAAATAAAGACTTTTATTTCAATTGTAAGAATTGGAAAGGTTCGCAGTGTATGTGTCGAAGCCGTTTCTGATTCATTGATCCTTTGCCTCTGCGATATGTCTTAATAAGACCTATGTATTTTCTCCAAATGAATCTACATGCAAAGAATAGGTGGTTGCACATAATTACATGTACAGATTTACAAAAATAGTGCTTAAGATTATGCCTTTTCATGTGTTGTACTACTCACTAAAAAAGGCAATGGTTGTAAGTATTTCGCAGCATATCTTACATAGATATGTAATTTTTTTCAGCTTTTGTTTTTAAAATTTTGATCGCTAAAAATATAATTATATTTTCGAAACCACTCATTCTCTTTTTGTATTCTGTTTTAGGCTTAACTCTGGAAGACGAAATGGGGCCCTTAGGTACGTTTGTAAATACGAAGCTTAAGTCGACAAGATCATAGGCTTCATTGATCTCTCTTCGATGGTTCATATCTTTCATTTAAAAGTAAACTTGAAAGTATTTTGTGCGAGTTTTTGCTTTATGTAAAATAATTGAATTCAAGTTCATATTAATTGTCTTTAGGATTAACAATTTATTTTTCAGATTGCCTAGATGGATGGTTTCGATATGAAAACCATTGTTATTATGTTAATACAACAGCCGTAACTTGGAACGAAGCCAAGGTAAACAGTTAAATTTATTATTTATATCATGATTAAAACTATATGAAAAACAAAGAGTTTATGTACATTGTTCTTGGAAATAAAGAGACTGGATAATAGAGATTAAGAGGATGAATAGAGAGGTCTTAAAAGAGTAAGTGTCGATCTCCATATTAACACTCAAGTTTATTTTAGGCCTTTGCTCCTTCACTTGCCGAAATTTACATTTAATTATAATGGCCAAGAAACTAACGAATGTCATTTTAAAAGAGTTGTCACAGAGAGAAAAGGATATGAAGAAATAGATTGAATTTCATACCTAGAAATTCAAATGCGGCTTAGAGTGAAGAGTTTTACCCCTCAAAGATTATTTTAATTTTAATTTTGAAAAAGATTTTTAGAAATTCCGATAGGCAAGAATGTATACATTTACGTTAAAAAGAATAGAAAATTAGTTATTTAAGACGGAATAACTTATTTTAGTTTCAGTGTGAAATTAATGGAGCACGTCTTATTGAGATTGAGTCTGACAGTGAAAACACATGGGTCATGGAAACCTTTCTACCACCCTGGACTAATGGTAAGAGTATAATTCCTTAATTAAGTCGTACATATTCCTCAAGAGATATTTTTTTTTCAAATCATGCTTTTGTTAGTTTATAAAAGATAAATGTAAGGAAAATTCTCTGATGGAAAAATAATATAAGTAAACAAGGCATACAACATGAACCCTGGAAATTTCAGAGATTGGATCAGAAGAAATAAGCATTCCTTTTAAAATGTATCACGGCTATAAACCATATGTTCTATTAAAGTTGACAAAGTATTACACAGAGAAATTTAGAATAAAAGCAAAGCCTAAAACTTCGTGGGTATGTTAAGGCAGCACATGGATCAGAATTCGGCGAATTAACACTTTTTTATTACATGTAACACTAATAAATCGGAACAGTCATGAATAAAACTTTTACTATAATTATGCATTCTATAGACGTCAATGAGACATCTAGGGCCTTTACTACAAGAGGCACTACACCACTTCATAACCACGTGACGTCTATAATTAGAAAAAAATGCCTTAATGAAAAAGTGACAAATTCAACACTACCCCGGGGATAATTAATTTCAATTTGTAGTCATAGTTATGTAAAAACATCTCTGTACCATGAAAAGTGCTGCTAGAATCCTACTGTCCTATCACAAAAATAATTATTCAACACTTTCGGAGGAAACCTTCCCCAAATTTTTACATTTTGTTCATAACATCGAAAAAAATGCACCAATTCCCGTAAACCATACGATTCTAGCAGCACTTTCCAAAAACAATAGAATAAGAACTTTAGATATAGAAACAAAAATTAAGTTTCAAAGTATGCGGCGTAGTTTGAACTTTTGCATCTTTTTTGTTACGAACGACAGAGGAAAGGCTGATCGGCAAGTAAACACCCTTTCTGCTTTTATTTTACGAAGAAACTGTAGAGTTATATTGGCATACCTTATTCAATGGCTTTATTCCCACATGAATCATACATGATATTCATTCTAAATGCTTTTAAACTCCGATTTCTTGTGTTTGTTTACATGAATTCTAGTTACGTTTCATTTTCACTCTGCTACTGCACGATCAACAGTTATGACGTCATGGGTTTGGTATCCAACCCATGTGATAAATACAGAGGCCCAGAAAGGACAAAATTCCGTTTATATTATGCCTCTGCATATTTTGATCCAATTTACGACCTCAAATCAATCTTTGATATCGATTTTAAGAAATTGTTATCTCTAAAACTTCACGTCACATAACTCATATTATATAGGCAAGTAGAATTTTTGGTTGTAACCTTAACATACCTGCGTTTTTGTTAAAGAAAAAAAAAACAAACAACTTAATCATAGGTTATATTTGCTAATAATTTATGTGAAGAACACGAACAGTATTCAAGGTTAAAACCCATTAAACATTATTTAACCCCTTACATGGCCTATACGCATTTCTACGCTTCAGACTTAAAAAACAAGTATAGTGTGAAAAAACATTCATAACTTTGTTAATACTGGAAATATCAGAATAAATCTTGCACCATTGGAAAGAGAAAATAAATACGGTAAAATAATATACAGAAAATATTTTTATCGGTAGTACCAGTTTTTTGCTAGCTTGAGTAAAACTTTGCGCACTAATTGAGCGATTTTGCCATTATCGAAATCAATGCTGGGGTAGCACGTTATATGTAAAAATGCTAAATTTTGGTGTGTTTACATCCCAACCCTACCCAATCCCCCCAAAATAATTTAAATTAGTGTGTAAAAAAAATGTACAACATGTTCATAATTTTCAACACAACAATAAAATAGTTTTTGATATATTTAACTGAGTGAAAAAACTAGACTGAAATTTATTATTTAATAAATGGAAATTCCAGTATGACTATGGTGTATTTCGTTGCCATGGCAACTGAAATGAAATTTTTATAATCATTTTTAGAAACAACATAATACTTGCTTTCGGAATATATGCATTGGTATATACAAAAATTACAAGAAATACCCCAAAAAATGCATTGAGATTTTAATATCAATTTATCTAGAAATGCTTAAAATCTTTGCCATGGAAGGGGATAAAAGGATCGGAGCAAACATGAACCTCTTAAATATCAGAAATGGAATCAGGTGCCCCGGAGGAGTGAGTATTCCCTGTTGACCTGTCACAACCGTCGTGAGCTCCGTGCCACACTCAGGATATAACGGAAACAAATCTGTGAATAAGTCAGTTTTTGAATAACGGTCTAACATCCTTATGAAATTCGTCAGCATTTATATAATTTAATGATAGATTGTATTTATTGAGAAGGGCATACATTGTAACGAACACAAAATTATTGCTGATATGTTAAAGTCGTCACGTTTATCATAAAGCGCTATTGTGAGATTACCATTAATTCATTATATTAAAATAGCGTTCATGAAATACTGACTTAAACAACTTATCAACTTCTTTGTCAGAAGCTTGCCTCAAATTTAATTACTTAGTATATAGGAAGATAGTCAGATTATATATTTGATCCTGGGAATTGAATAGAAACTATAACAATATATGCAGATCATATTGAAATATTGCTATAAAAATTGAAGATAATAAAACGTAAGAATTTTGTTTTCTATCTTGTTAGATGTTTTTTCTCTATAGTGGCTGCAACGTTGTTGTTGACAAACCAATCGTGTAGAATCGTTCGTGTATCGTGCGTGATCGTTCGTGTAACGTGCGAGATCGTGCGTGTATCAGACTCAATCGTTTGCCGTTTTAATTGTGCGCTATCGTGCGTTTAGAAACGTGTAAATTTCGTTTCGTTTTTTTCGGAATGTTATTTGTTAAAGAAGCATTTCGCATGTCTTTTTTAATATATATATTAATCCAAATAAAATGAATGAAGCGCAAATTACATAATTAAATGCAGAACGAACTCATTATCGCTCGTAAACCAGCAATGTTGTAAGTCGTACAATATTATGTTCTCGTCAAATAGCTCGACCAATGATATTTTGATAAACCATCCTTAGTTGTTTAACGTTTTTTTTCTCTGTGATTTTCATTCTTTTTTACTGTTTATTGTTGTTAAGATATTTTTTAAATTCATCAAAAATAAATTCTTTAACAAATAAAAAACAGCATTTCTCAATGCTTACATGAATATTTAGTCGGCGAATAATTATACATGCACACGACATGATTTTCAGGGTATTGTTTATCAGTTTTTATCTGTAGCTTACTTTTAATTATTTTTTTTTTTTTTTTTTCTGCAAATAAAAAAATATTGAATAAATGGGAAGCTCATTTTTAGAGATTCACAAACATTGAATCAGTTGAAACATATGGATATAACTCGTAATTTAATTCATTCCATCCTGCCATTTGGTTTACAATCGTATATCTCCCGTTCTGCATATTATGAAATCCAATTCAATTAAATTTTACGGTCCATGTGCATCTGCTATAACAACAACAACCAAAAAAAAAAGCGTTTCTTAGGTCGGATAATTACCAATATTAATATAATGATTTATGTTCTAAAATACGAAATAAGTTTTACATGTTTTTTTCTCAAAGTCTACGAAATATCATTAATAATTCTTTGAAATTTATAATCAGTATTAAGCCGTTTTTCGTTTTGAAAATACCGATTCCTATATATTTTGAACTATTTTGAGTGAAGAATCGTGCGTTTGCGTTAGCAATCGTGAAAGATCGTGTAACGTGTAGAATCGAGAACGTGAAGGATCGTTCGTGTAACAGGTTTAATCGTGTGTTAATCGTGCGTTAATCTTGCGGAATCCTTCGTGTAACGTGATCGTTCGTGTAAGTTGTCAACAATAACGTTGCAGCCACTGTATCTGTTCATGTGCATAATTATGTGCTCTATATGTCATTGATTTTTAAGATCCATTTCATTTATGATTTGCAACATGTCTCAACATATTCAATGAATTGAAATTAATTTAACATGCAATCGAATGCCATGTTTTTTTTCTAAGGCTGAATATAAAACATTCCTAAATTAGATTTTTCTGATATATAAAGTCAGGATAAAAATATATTAGGTGTGGAAATTTCCTCAAAATTCAACTTTGAAATCAACACTATGTGATATTGATAAAATTGCTTGAATTTGACAACTTCATAAAAAAATTAATTAGAACAATTTAAGGTTATTCACCGCACTGACAAAAAAAAAACAGATGTATAAAAACAACATCATCAAAAGACTTGGAAAATTAATTAAATCAGGTTAAAATAATACCTTGCAGTTTTCAAATCATAAGATACCCATGTGGAAGCGACCCAGTAGTACTCGAAAATCACGATTGATTTACATGTTAAATGCATCAAATTTTGAACAACGTTCAAAATAATTTGAACAGACGCTAGAGGAAGTTTTATTCGGTATACGGGAGTTTTGCTTGAAAATAGGAGTGTCTGGATAGGAGTATTTGAAAATATTTAGGTATAAGAATACCCCTTTTTCCAAAAAGGTCTTGTTTAATGTAGAAAAAATGAGAGAGGAACTTTAGCTAAAGCATATTTGGAAACACATATTCAATTTAAGATATCCAATAAAACATTACAAAACTAAAAAACGTACAATAAGGCATCTTTTTTATTAAAAGAGTTATGAATCTTATGATAGAAAACAGGCTTATAAATAAATGCCAGAGACAGACAATTTTGCCTCATTACAAACGTATTTAGTTATATCTAGATCTGTTAAGGTTAACATACATGTATAATTTAAAGTCATGAGGAATAAAAACCAGTTCGTCGTTGGTGTCAATTCCTTGTTAGCGTGTTTGTTATGAGGCTCAGCATGTTTAAATGTTTAGTAAAATCTGACGTCGATGTTTTTATTAGAGTTTGGGTTCCATTTGAGCATTTTTAATCTTTATAGCTGAGTGTTCTAAATGGTGGGATTGCTGCGATTGTTGGATAGGTGCTACAGACATCGATACTGAAGGAGTGTTCACATGGAATCATGTGACCAACATCACATATTCGAATTGGTACATAGATCAGCCAGATAATCTACAGATGGGGCATTGTGTCGTCATGTGTCGAAATGGATTCTGGGATGATTTAGATTGTGCACGAATGCATCCATTTATTTGCGAGAAACTCTAAATTGACATAATTATTTAGATTTTTAGATTGGGCAATTTTAAGGAAATTTAAAATAAATAAAATATGAAGAAACTCCACGAACTTTTGGATCAACCCTCCTAAAGTAATAATGGTCTAGATTTAAGTCTTTGTATAAGTATAAAGCATTCAGGATGTGATGCAATTGAATATACACAGTGACTGTACAATAAATCAGCCTTTTCATTTGATATCATAAGATGTAATTTCTTTTTTGATATCATAAGATAGAACCTTCCATTTAAGGACTCAGGCAGAGGTAGCAAAGATTGTGGAACCTTCCTTAGAGTGTTTCAAGCGAACCTATTGATATAAATGAGTTGAGAAAGAAAAAACCTCATATTTCATCAAAACCGTTCTTTTAGACTCCTTTCACAGAGATATTAGAAAAGATTAGAAATACATTACAGTACCGACCAGACACAACCTAACACCAGAGCGAACCCGAAGCGGACCCCGGGTTCGCTTCCCGGGTTCGCTCGGGGTCCGCCTTCGGGCTCGCTTTCAGAAATTTTGGGACCGCTCTGGGTCTGCTTTGGGTGCGCTCCCGGTTCGCTCCGCGTTCGCTCGGGGTCAGCTCTGGGTCCGCTAGAGCGAACCCGGTGTTCGCTTTCTGGGACCGCTTTACGCACTGATGCGTGAAGCGGAACCCCGCTTTAATCTCGCCGCCACTAAGCCCCGCCCCTTGTATATTCCGATACAGTATTGGGTTTGTTGATCGATCATTGTTGTTTATGCGGCGATCGATACATGTACACTGTACATGTAAACAGTGACATTATGGAGAGCACTGATAAATTTTCCAAAATTCAACTGTACATACGACGTATAATTGATTTCCTTGATTTCTCCAATCTCGGAATTTCGATCCCGAGAAATTATTAAACAACGGATTTTTAGGCATTTATTTTTCTTTAGTTTTAACGTGAAAACAAAACAGAAGAGGAAGAAAATGGTGATGAATTAAATTAAATGTTACGAATGGTGTACAAGTGAAACTGAAGTTAGTATCTAAACAAAATACCTTTCAAATTCATGCGTTATATACTTTAAAATTATATTTCTTATTCCTTAAGTTTTGCAAAATCGTAGTTTAAATCTTTGCCAAACACGTGCATTATGATATCGCATTTATAAATTAAATTAACCTTTTTTACACGTGATATATTTAGATTTCATTCATAAAAGTTACACATAAAAAGTTCGTAATAAATATTTACAGGACATTTGAAAAAAATTAAAAAATTATATCGGATCTTTTTCACGCTCAGAATTATGGAGCGATTATGATTTAATCAGAATGAAAAAAATAAAAATAAAATGACAAATAATAATTGTTCTCCCGGTCCGCTAAGAATAAAATAATATATCCCCCCTTTTTCACACACACACACATTAATAAAATTAAAAATTATCTGAAAAAATACTTCTAAATATCTGATTATAAATAAATACAGGAAACATCAAGACCAAGAGAGAGAGAGAGAGAGAGAGAGAGAGAGAGAGAGAGAGAGAGAGAGAGAGAGAGAGAGAGAGAGAGATCTTAACTGTATCAACTTTCATCATTAGACTAGATTTAAATAATAAAGCCTGCTGACTTTTTCCTAAGTTTCTATAAGTCGTCCTCCAAATCCCGTATTCGTATTGTTTTCTATAAGCCTGCTGCAATATTTTTTTTTTTCAAAAATATACAGGAAGACGTACATATACAAGTATTTTTTTTTCATGCGCAATTAAAAGAACAATAATTTTGATGTGAATTTAAAAAAATTTAAAGGAACCCGTAAATTGAGAAAATGGAAATAAGATTATTGAATAATGGGCACGTAAATATTATTGTATTGTTAGTATCTTGAGATGATGAAATTTTACAATAATTGTCAAAGACCAACTATTTTTCTTCTCTCCTCTTTTTGTCAGTAAAAATTGTAATGCAAATTATTTATTTCCTTTTTTACGCCTTGTATTTACACAATTTATTTACCCAGGGGGTTTAAATACTGGTATAAAGAACTAAAAAAAATAAATACGTAAATATTCATGTATCATTCTACGTGGAAAATTAAAATATATAATTTATAAATTGCTTTAATATAAACAGAAAATGAATATATAAATATAAAATACTACCAGGAGAATTAAAATAAATAAATATAGAATAATATTTTAATGATCATATTAGATTTACGCTGTAACTTATTTACACGTTTTGCTTGTATGTACAATGTTTGGATTTATGTTGAATTATATTAACACGTTCGATCTTTTATCCCAATCGACAGATCAATATGTTATTTGATTGGTTGACGCGCTGATTGGTTAATCGCTTATGCTGATTGACAGCTCTATGAAGAAATACCGAACGCGCGTTCGCTCTCTGGGACTGCTACTGAATTTGGGGTTCGCTCTCTGGGTCCGCTTCGGGTTCGCTCGGGGTCCGCAATGGGTTCGCTCCGGGTTCGCTCGGGGTCAGCCCTAGCGGACCCCGAGCGAACCCGAAGCGCGCAGCTAGGATAAGGCTGCCCGTAAAATATCAAACTGTTCAAACTGTAGTAACTTCTATGAACTACCTAGATATGACGTCATAATAGAATATGACGTCAAGTCACTGCATACTTGAGCTGACATGACGGGGAAAGTGTCATAATTATTACACGGCAAGTAGATTTATTCTGGGGATTTGTGTTTAATTCAAGAGTAAGGTTGTTTTAAGCTTGTGTGTGCTACAATGTTTAACATTTGATATTTAAATATCTCTATTCCTTTTGCTTGTCCCATATGCATATATTCAAGCAATAGCAAAACATTTTGTTTGAAACGCTCCCCTTACACTTCCGTAGACAAGGTTATATTGGACTAGCACAAGTGAAAGACAAAGATAAATCGAAGATATTCTGGGTGAATCTAAAAGATAAGTATGTCATCTAACTAAATTTTTCTGGGGGATCGTATGTAGTTTATCTGTTTTTGTATAAATTGCGATTAAGAGTGGAAAATACCCCTTCTTACGTTGGTAATTTTAATTTATCGTATAATATTTTCTTAAGAAGAAAATTTTAAACCTGCCCCCAGCACTTTTTAGGTACCATGGATCACGATGAATTGATCTATGAAACAAACTTTGCAAAATAATTGTGTTATGCACTTGTGCCGATGCGATTTTTGTGCAACATTTAAGAATATCAAAAATGTCCGTCACAGTCATCTGACATCACAGAGATGATTTATTATAATACCTGATTAAACTGTTATATCAAGTTGACTGCAATTTCAAACAAGGATAACATATTGAAATTAAAATCTAGCTCAAAATAAAATGTATATTTTTTAGACATTTTAAGCCTTCGGACAGCCTTATCATAACTGCGCGGACCCACAGAGCGAACCCGGGGTCCGCTCCGGGTTCGCTTTCTGTTAGGTTGTGTCCGGTTGGTACTGTATATATATGGACAGTTGCACCATAAACAGAAGCTTAAAATCATTGAAATAAGTTATTTAAGGGGAGACAGGGCACATAACTTTGATTCCCAATTGTGGCCGCGCCCTACCCCCGGGGACTCATGATTTGAACAATGTAGAATTAATACTACCCCAAGATGCTTCCACATAAGTTTCAGGTTTTCTGGCCCAATGGTTCTTGAGAAGATTACTTTTAAAGTTTTTCCCCTATATATTTCTATGTTAAACTTTGATACACTATTGTGGCCCCGCCCTTCCCCCGGGGGTCATGATTTGAATAATTTAGAATCTACACTACCCCGGAATGCTTCCACATAAGTTTCAGCTTTTTTGGCCCAGTGGTTCTTGAGAAGATTTTTTAATGACCCCAACCTATTTTTGTCTTTTCTTGATTATGCCCCCTTGTGAAAGGACTAGGCCCTTCATTTTAACAATAAAAACTTTCCTTTACCCAAGGATGCTTTGTACTAAGTTTACTTACAATTGACCCAGTGGTTCTTGAGAATAAGTCGTAAATGTGAAAAGTACACAGACGGACGGACAGCTAGACGGACGGACGACGGACAAAATGTGATTAGAAAAGCTTACTTGAACCTTCGGCTCAGGTGAGCTAAAAATATTCATATTTGCCATTCTCGTCTGATTTCTACATTGTTTGTTGTCAATTTTTTTTTAAATATAAGAAGACCAAAAATTGTGATATAGGCCATTCAAAATATTACCAATAAGGGTTATATAAGTAATATGACCCTGTGGTATCTTGTCCAAATGCATGGTAAGGTACCCTAATTTGTGTAAGGAATCTTGTTAAAGGACCTATTCTTCAATGACAGTTTCTTTAGATCAATTACATATTTTTAGGAATGTTTCGTCTGACCTTATGCCATATCATGCATGATCACAGGAAAAGAAATTTCAGGTCAAAATAAAAAAATTCTTGTAACATAACACTGCTGTTATCATGACAACTTAATATTCAGACCCTTGAGTGGATCGGGAAGTTCTGGTAGCTCGGGATCATCCAGCGGAGACAGTGGCTCAATTGTTGGAAAGAAACGAAGGTTCAATTATATGAACGCCCAGGCAGGTATTGTCGTTTACGTGGAAAATGGGGGACATTGGCTACTTCTCAAGGGGTCGAATTATGATGATACACCCGACACATTTATTACAGATGCTGCTCTTATGAATTCAAGGTATATTTTCCAGAGATAAGAATTTTTAATAATGCAATTTGGGTGAATTAGAAATATGACCAAACACTCATTTATCAACCTGTTCTATAAAAGACAATGAAAATTTTGTCTAACCATATGGATGTCTTTAGAAAGTGTCTAACTATATGTCAAATATCTCGTAGATATCTCAATTAACAGAAAAAAAATATGCTTAAAAATGATGCTATTATTGTCAGATGTGACATTTTGAAATTACATGTGCAATATTTTGTGTATATCTGTGAAATAAACTAGTGGCACCGTGAGTATTGAGCTCACTTATGTACTCCCGCCTCCCATACATGTAAGATAATAATGGCAAAATCCATGTTTTGCTGTCGGATACCCGATCAAAAAGTGAAATTAAAGGTACACAATGGTATTATTCAATAAAAATCTGTCGTAAGTAGAGTTCCTGATAAGAGATCGGCACCCTTACATGTAGTATTATAAAAAGAATGGCAATGTCCATGTTTTGCTATTGGAATTCAAAGAAAGTGTCGATTAAAATGTGAAATAAGAGCTTCACAATGACACCATGTAGCAAGGTCTTTGAAAATCTCATTAATTGTCATTCAGTGGTAATGGATAAGTTGCGGATAAGCGATTGATGCATGTATAAAAAAAGCGTAACAGACAGACAGACGAACAGACAGACGAATGAACTGACGTACAGGCGGAGGGACTTCCCAATCACTATAGACCCTGGAAGTTTTCAAGCGTGTAGTATAATTTGAATGTTTTATGTTGAAAATAAAGACTTTCCTGATAATTTTTTTTTAGCTTTTAATGCTGAACGTTGTACATGTAACCTTTATTAATTGTATGTTCATATGAAATACTGTCAAGTGTTAAAAATTAGATGTTTTACTCCCAAGCATGTAATCAATTCATGATATTCTGATTTTTATTTTTCTCACTATTCTTTACCATCAAACAAATTAATAACTTCTGAGAAAAGTACTAGCAAATTGACTGCTTAAGAGATCTGTAAAACACTTATATATACAACATATCAAGGTAGTTAAAATTCGTTTTTGGCCTTGTGGAATCTTCATTAATATGCTTTAGAATTGTGCATTTATTTATGATATGTTCACATGGAAAAATATATCTTTCATTAAAATATGTCCCACAATCCCGAAAGATTTAAATACTGTAGAATAATCATTGTTCGTTGGGGGGATGTTTGTGAATTTCTTGTGTCACATTACCCTCGAATTTACATCCCCATGCATGTACGCTTATTTTGTTAGCATATTGATTCATTAAAGCATCATAATTACGAGTTACCCACGAAATTACGTCCCCCCAAATATTAAAAAAAAAATCGCTTATCAATAAAAATTGACCCCACGAATTAAAATAATTCCACAATATCTCGTCAAAGGTTAAAAAGTGCGAGGGCGTATTATCTTATTTGTTTTTTTTTTATTTTTAGATTGAGCCAGATTCGTTTCTGATCATTGATTATAATGTACATTTCTTACAGTTGGATTTGCCTCGAAGGCCATCCAGTCAGAAACTGTCATTATACTGTGAACAATTTCATAGTGAATGCCCTTATAAGGGAACCCGACTACCTGATTGGAGCTAACTGTCAGACAGCAGCTAACAGAATGTGGGTGCTGGTAGAGAGTTGTATATAGTATATCAAAAAAAAGTCAACATGGCAGAGTTATTTTTTTTTAAATTTGAACGTGTTTATATTATCATAATGAAGTACTGTTTGAATAAAGTCGGCACATGTTTTTTTTTCTTTCTTGTTCATTTTTAAAAAAAATATTATTCGAATGATATCCTAAAAAAATACAGTAGTAAACTATAGGTTTCTATAGTTCACTGTCGTTTTCTATATTTAACTATTGTTAATTATAGTAAATTATTGTGATATGTTAGACTATGAAATCTTGATTTACTAAAGTGAAAACTTTGACACTTTGATACAAAAGTGAGCTCGAGAGCTATGAACACTCATTTACTCTGGTAGAAACTTTAATTAACTGTAGTCATAAGTTTTAAAAACTTTGATTTACTATAGTGATAACTTTGACACTAAAATGCATGCTGACTTTAAAAACTTTGATTTACTACAGTGATAAGTTTGACACTTTGATTTACTATAGTCAAGTATACTAACTTAGAGTAATCTATGAATTATAGTTAACTATATTTAACTATAGTGTTTGTGTTCAGGATAGCTAAAAATTTATCTGCATTTAACAGATCTAGATATGCACAGAATAGACAATGTACTTTAAATAAATGAATGAAATTATCCTCTTTTTGGTTAAAAAAATCCCTCTATCCAGTTAAAAGCAAGCCGTGTTATTCTTTGCATTCTTAATGTAGACTGGCATTTATTACTTAAAGATTCCGACTAATAAAACTAAATATTGGGAACCACAACATCCACACTTTAAGAAAAAATTGTATACTTCTTGAAGATGAATTTGTTTTGGCGATACAATGACCTTGTCTGCAAGTACAGTTCATCTTTGAGTCACATGCTGACTGACGTTTTTCATACCATTTGTATGACGACGGATTTTTTCCGTTATATCCCCATGCATCATAACAAGGAGTTAATGGCAGGTGTGACAGGTCGGCAGGGAAAGCTCACTCCTCCATGGCAAAGACCCCACCTCTGTTAATTCGGAGTTTTTTCTGCTTATATCTTGTATTGTTTAAGGGACCTGTGAGCTTGTATACTGTTCGTTATCTCCATATGTTTCATCTATCCAAACATTTTCCTGGACAAGATCCATTTACATGATGGCGGTTTGAGTCCAGACAGAATCTGCATGAATGAAAAATTGTTCGCAGTATTTATTTTGCATACAAAGTGAAAAAAAGGATACTTTACTACTTTTTCTTGAACGAATTCCTTTAGAAATAATTTAGAAATTTATTCTAACATAAGAAAATGAATTATTGTATTGACTTCATTTTTTAAAAACATCGCTGCTTAAAAATTGAAATAAATATATCAAGAATTTATGAGAAAATAAGAATCCATGTTGCACTCATAGGATTCATTTGAATAATATAACTATATTACACGATAAAACGTATTGTGTATTTCAAAAGACAAATCACTGATTATTTCCTTTTTGGTTTAGACTTTCCCTGGTAAAAGACTGCTTTTCTAGAACAAAGTAGTTTTCATTTGATTTAAATCTATCACTTTCTAACAAAACGTCGTTATCATCAACCACTTCGTCCCTATCTGAACTTTTATCAGGATGTGGAACACCATCAATAGCGCCATCACAATGGCCAGGTGAGGGATCTTCAGTTTTTGATAAATGTACATGTTCGTAATTGTTTTCTCTGTCATCTGCTGGTAATTCGCGGAGATGGTTATAAACACCGCACATTGTGTTGGATGTCATGCTTGAATGAAGTTGTTCTGTTATCTGTTGTGCATCTTTGAAATTCTAGTAAATATTTATGAAAATTTAAAATTCATCTAACTTTGCTTGTGATAGATTCTTACCTTTTTTTTCTTCATATCGAAATTAACACTGTACAATTAAGAGCTGCATCATTTTTTTTTCATTTATCGGGACATGTATTTCTATTTTATCGGTAGAGCTTACATAGCCTTCTTTAAATTTGATTACAAATGTAACACAGGGAATGTTGATTTCACATCACTACTTAGGTCGAGTGATACTAAGTGTAAATGAGAATTCTTTTTATGACATCTTATACATATTTTCCTAATATTTATAGCAAGCTACCAGATCTTCTGACGTACATCTCAATACCAGTATTTTCATTACATTCATCTGAATTCGAAATATTCTCAAATCGCATTTTTCTCCAAATACATTCCCATAATATACTACTGCTGGTCATATGAGCAACATATTACGAATTTCACAAAATAATTTTTTTCCGAAAAAAAAAATACTCACGCGTTCATCACTTATTTCATTGTACACATCATTCATTTGAATTTTTTGGCTTGGTGGTTCATAATGATTCTGTATATACACTGCTTTGTTCTTTTGTCTGCATTATTTGAATAAAAGAAAACTGATTATAAAAGTGCTGCTATATAGTTCCATTGAAATATTGCGTATTTTTGATAAGTCAAGAGTAACTAAAATTAAAAAGATCTTCCTATTTGTTTTGTTACTTTACAATTCATGGAGATATGACTTCCCTTGAAAATTATACAATTTAAAAATTCCCGTTTATATATAACATAGATTTTAAACAATATCCGTTTTATTTCCGACTCGGCATTTAAAATATGAGACACAATCTTTAGTCAATTTTACTATAAAAAATGAGGATATTTAAGTTCAAAATTGTTTAAAATTTGAATTTGAAAGTAAAAAAAAACATATACCATGTAAATCTATACTTAATCTGTTATTAATATTTTTAGCTCAGATACGCCATATATAGCTTTAAATGGATCAATAAGAAGTGAAAAAATCAAAATACATGTAGATATATATTTTCAGAGAGAAAGGTTAAACGGATGTTTTACTTAGAGTAATAAAATATGAAAATAGAGATTTACGTACTTTTGAAGCCTTTCACGGATCAGGCAGGTCGTAGATGTAATCATTAAACCAAAAACTAGTCCAGTAAATGCAGCCCCGAAAGAAGATTCATATAAAGTTTCTAAAATGAAATATTAACACAGACTTTTTAGTTAAGACATTACATGGAAAAATAAAACGAATAAAGTCAAAACTGAAAGAAATTAAAATAAAAAACAAACAAACTGTAAGAGAGGTCATTGGCATCCGAGCTTTCTGAAGTTTTCTGTTTGCTCTCTAAATTAAATATGCATATATATGTAAAAAATATCTAACTTAATAGTCATATAACTGGAAACATGTTCTTGTTGAAATCATTCGTTTCTATTAAAAATCGAGTATCAAATAAATCACACCATAGGTTTTGTTCATGAAAATTGAAATTTTTTTTCATTTACTACACTTGATAATAATGATCATGCTGATTAAAGTTATAATAAAGGAGTTGATCTATTCTTGAACAATCCTTCAAGTGAGAATCCTTCACTATAAATACATCCATTTACTTGTATACAGAATGAATTTAAATCAACTGCTCATGACATTGTAAAGTTATATTAAGAAGGTGTGTTAAAGTCTTTATTAATTTCATCAGTCCTCAATATCCCTTTGAGAACCGCTCGTTAATGTAAGAAAAAAAGATGTGCTTGTAGAATAACTGACATCCATAGTGGCAGCTCAAGGTGAACATTAAAGTTTTTTTTCAAACTGAAGTTCGAAGTACAACGTCAAGAGGTAGAAAGCATTGATATCTAAGGAAAGTTCTTTTCACAATGAAAACATAGGTGACACAAAAATTCTAGTTCCATCCGTTATTTATATAAAAGTACACTGTACAGTGTAATTGGGAAGATTTAATTTTTTCCTAATTAAGTGAATGTCGAAGTTCATTGTAAAAAATGGTACAAAAGGAATGGTCTGGAAAAATGTAATTTTGAGAAAACGTGAAGTTATCCAGCTTAAATACCAAAGATGGGACCAGGTTCCCTTGAAGAATAAGTTTCCCCCACTTACAGGTGTCACCTGCCGTCTGCTCCTTGTCATAATGGGGGAAAACATGAAAATCCGTTGACAATGATGTGTGTAAAGTAGCATAAAGGGAATCATTCGAATAAATGAATGATTTTGTCAGCTAATTTTCTGTTAGGGCACTGAAGACTTTTTTGGGGAGAAGTGTATAGAAAATGTAATGTAAGTAGGCATTTAGAGATAGCATGCGTACACGTAATTCATATAAATGGAATGATGTACAGTAACAAAAGGTGGAAAACTTAGGACAGAAACTGAAGACATTCTTTTGTTTAGTAAATAATCTACTGTTTAGTTGGTCGTATCCAGGCTGAGTTGAAACAGATGAGTTCTGTGCATTTACTGATGTTGTGACAGCAAACGAAGTATGAAGCGCAGTTGAATGTTGTGTGTAAAGTAGTGACGTAACACAAAACTCTAAATCCATAAATACATACATGTAAATAATCAAGCAGAACATTTAATTATCAAAAATAAAATAATAGTAATTATTAAATTCCGTTTATATAAAAAAGTATATTCGTCAAATTGAAGAAAAAGTAAATTTTATTGAATTTACAATGTATTATATACCAGCAGGAAGGAGCTCAGTAGAGATGGTGCATGAAATGTTTTCTTGTCGGTTTGAACTACTTACAAAAGGGATCTCATGTATACTGCCGTTGGTCAATTTAAGTATTAGAAAATTTCCATCTTTACCCCCTTTTTCCGAGCCATAATCACACTCGTTGCTTACTTCATAAATGGCTTCAAAAAATATCTTTATTATAATTTCACCAAAAACTTTGATGTGCCTCTAATATGCATGTTTGGATTAATTCAAAATTCATCAAACAACAGCAAATGTCAACATTCGACGGTCGGGAATGCAATTTTGAGAAATAAAATCGTTTGAAAAGGAAATGGTTCCGACGTGAATTAGATATAAACATACAAAAATACGGAAGAATTTGTCATTTATTTTTACTAGTCCAAAGTTTATAGATTTGCAATTTTATAAAATAAAAAAAAATTAAAAAAGTAAAAACACTCTTACAATAAGATATACTCCAAACACTGATCAAGAAAATGCCTGAAATTTCAGAATTCATCATTTCTGATATTGATGTCTACTTGGGTGTATAATACATAAAATAACTTTATTTGATACATAAAATAGCTCAAATGATTTCCTTGACATTGATTGTGCGTAATCACATGATTGTAATTGCAATGACTGTAATGTCCTTGTTTGTATGTTTGTTTGTTTTTTCTTATGGATATAATGTAGTTAAAATGAACTCAGGAACAGGTGGTACGTGTTTCATGTGCGGGTTTTCTTCCTTATATAACACTAAATATATCCGACAATCATTTCTCGTGTATTTATTTCAAACAATTTTAATCAGTGGTTATCATACGACTTAACAAAAAAAGTTAAAATGATAAACATTAATTTCTCTCACAAATATTTATTTACATTAGTCAATGCTTTTCCTTATATGACTATATGACAATGTAAATTAAATTAACATTGGATTTTCAAGGACCTGCAGTCGTTCACATAATCAGACTTTCTTGCGTATTGGAAGCAAATCGCGCGAGATATTCGAAAAGTCTTTACTGTGGCGTCATATGACATCATATGAATGTGTTATGTTGCATTTCAATATCAAAATCTAAATAGTCCCTTTTTCTTTGTAATGTGAATAGAAATAAAAATATAATAATAAGGAATAATTTTTTTTAGAGTTCCATTGGGATATAACATGAAGTCGGTACGTGAGAAATCTACTATAACGGCCCCGGGCCTTATAGAATTTTATCACACGACCGGCTTTCTGTCATACTCCAATTGAACTCTAAAATGCTATCTTATTTCTTAAATAAACAATTCAAATTCGTGAAAAGTTTATAACACGGGCTCCTGGTAGGACCAGGTACATGTAATAAGAGAACTAACCATCCTTTGTTGTCGGGTCATGTTCCACCAGTGCGTCCTATGTATTGATCATGATACGGAATATTTCATAGACAAATACAACGATTATTACAAAATCTTAAACTTTATCATTAATGTCGTTTTAAATTATTTAAAGTCAAGTAACTAAGCAGACATTGCAAATTATCACGGCAAATAGTAAACGATGATTAAATTAATCAGCTCAGAATCAACCTGCTCTCTAAGGCACTTTGTACGTTTTACGTTAGCTTAAAAGGCTATCTTAGGACTTTCATTATTACGGAATACAAGGTTCCAATACATTGCAAAGGAATTGAAATTGATCTTTTAGATAAATTTTAGTATGTTCGATACACCTTTTAATGCCTTTTACACAAAGGTTGTGTAAATACAAGACTTGATGAAAGCTATGTTGCACATACAACAAATACTTACAGTAATTTATGTGATTTCTGTTGTATTCAGTAGCGATAAACAGAATGTAAAGAACAAGGTTCACTTATAGTATTTTTTGGCCTTGGAAACTGCTAAGTTTCAATTGACAATGCATAGGATATCATTTATATTTTTAGCGATTGAGAAACTTTCAAAAGGGACGAAAATGTCTCGCTAGTAAAAACATTCTGACGTCATGACTTGTGTCATTTTTTTCAGAACCTGAATAATGCTACTAATTATAAAACCACAGTTTTCTTAAGTTATTTTCCGATATTACGTATAGCGGGCAAACTCTGATCTAAAATATGTAATTATCAAATTATAGAACTGTTTCTGAGGATTAACTTTCATTTCTTTGGTTCAAGAATCATGCTCAAATTATTTTTCTTCTCTGTAAGTACTCAAACATACCCGTTTTTCTTAAAATGAAAGAACATTGAAATTTCAAAGAGCATGTTTTCCTATACTTGAACTTTCCGCAGAAATTTTTAATTGAAAATGAAAGCACTAAGTATCTACTTCATCTTGGTGTTTGAAATAGGTCATAAATATTAGCCCATAAATAGATATGTATACAGGCTAGGGCCTTTTTATGCATATAGTGAACCTAGCTCTATGGCTTGATATTTTAACGGCTTACTACGGATTTAAACGTTTAAAAATGAAATATTATTTCCATAGTTTACATTTGTTCCTTATATAACCCCATGTCTGGTTTATTATATCATTTGTGTGATATAAAAACATTTTTTTTATCCCAAAAACTGCTAAAATTCATGTGATATCCCTCGGCATGAGTTGACATAAAACAGAGATGTAAGCATTTTTCAGAGTGCACGAAAAATAAAAATCTTAATATCTGTTATCATATAAAAGAAATTATATATTCTTTCTCGTTTAATTGAGACAAAGAAAATGATATAAGGCACATGAAAATAGTTCCACAATTAAAATTTTCACCCCCCAAAAGGAATTATATCAATGTGGAAAATAAGGTCATAAGAAATTTCTAAAAATTAAAAAAGGCTTTAGGGGTCAACATTTTGTATTATTCATATAGATCATGTTCAAAGAGACTTTCTGCTGCAGCGTTAAAACAATAGCGTTAAAAAACTCACTGTACGTAAAGCTAATTTAAGACCAAAAGTAAATGACACTACAGCAAAGACAATATTGTTTTAAAAGACCTTGCATTAGTGCATTAATACGAGGGCTGTTCGAAAATTATTGAGACAATTACCTTTACTCCATAAAGGACGGCGATAATTTCATAAAAATTCATCAACATTTTATAAAGAAAGTATAAAATAATTATGCAAAATTTCTAACTCCTATGATAATAAGAAAAGTTTCGGTGAATTGATAAACATGCATATGTCTATCGACCCGGAGCAGCATCGCTACGTCATTTAACGTCACGTCACCCGGAGATGGTTTTGCATGTAAAACGATCGCAAAGCGTTTAATACTTTTCCTTCTTTGTTATTACATATAACTTTACAAAAATCAACCAGTCTCTTTTCTCAAACTATTCTTTAAAATTGTATGGCATTGCTACCCCAGTGTAAAATTTTCATTTGTGGGAAAGGATGACTTATAGAATCATGCAGTGCCGATTTATGCAACGCGGGTCAACGAAATAAATACCGTAACGATATTACTACCGTACGTAATAACTGATGGTTGTCCGGAGCTTTTGATTTTACTCTGGTTTAATTGTAAAGAAAATCCTGTATATCAATGAAATTAAAAAAAATCCAGCACATTATTTTCTTTCTCGTTGTTATAGTTTTAGCAGGTCGTCCAGTCTGG